CTCACTCACTCACTCACTCTCACACACACACATGAATACATGTTATGGGGTTCTATTTGTTAATAACTGTGTGTGTGTGTGTGTGTGTGTGTTTGTAGGTATCAGACGTGTATTCTCTGGTTCTTCAGGCGATGTCAGTGCCGTTACTGAAGGACTACGTTCCCTTCTCCTGGATCTCTATGGTTCAGGTCAAAACGCATCATTTCAGAGCGCTGGCTCATTACTACACCGCTGTGGCGCTGTGTGACTGTTCTTCAGGCAATGTCAGTGCCGTTACTGAAGGACTACGTTCCCTTCTCCTGGATCTCTATGGTTCAGGTCAAAACGCATCATTTCAGAGCGCTGGCTCATTACTACACCGCTGTGGCGCTGTGTGACTGTTCAGGTGAACTACTGAACATCTCTGTGTTTACTGACTGATGACTTCATGCATACATCACCGGGCAAAAGTTTGGAATGATTATGATTTTTTAATGTTTTTGAAAGAAGTTTCCTCACCAAATCTGCATTTATTTAATAAAAATTTAAAAATTACAAAAAATACAGTAAAAAACAATTATCAATGTTGAAAACTATGTTCCAGTAGCATTCAAAAGTTTGGGGTAAGTAAAAAAAAAAAAACATTTATTAAGCAAAGATGCATTAAATTGATGAAAAGTGACAGTAAAGACATTTATAATGTTACAAATGATTTCTGTTTCAAATAATAGCTGTTCTTTTGAACTTTCCAAAGAACAGCATTAACTGAAATGTATCACAGTTTCAATAAAAATATTGTGCAGCACAACTGTTTTCAACATTGATAATAATCAGAAATGTTTCTTGAGCAGCAAATCAGCATATTAGTATGATTTCTGAAGACCATGTGACATTGAAGACTGGAGTAATGATGCTGAAAATTCAGCTGCGCATCACAGAAATAAATTACATGTTAACAGATATTCACATAGAAAACAGCTCATTTAAATTTTAATAATATTTTTAGGGCCGTCCTCGACTAAGGATTTTTCTGGTCGACTAGTAGTCGTTAATTTTAAGCGTTAGTCGACTAATCGCACATTTATTAATAAACCATTTAAATCATTATTATGAGCCTTTAATTGCCTACATAGCCTAATAGGCGCTCAAGCACACACATAAAGCTTGCCACAGCGCACCGCAAAAGTAATGATTATGAATGTGTCAGTGAAAAACAGTAAGGAGACTGCATCAACATTTTAATAATTTGATAAATTAGTGCTTTCTTTGTTCTCGGTTTAAGAGATGAACTCGGCGACAATTACTCATCATCTCCGCTGTAGTGATGCACCTTGTTTCATACGGATTACATAATCTGAGAATATTTGTTTTCCATTTGAATTAGTTCATTTGAAAGTAGACATTTCACTCTCTATAGATATATTTTCTATGTCTGTAAGGTAAAGGTATACACGGTGTTTCGCGCTCAAGTTCACAGAGACCGAGACAGCAGAAAGTGCATCCTGTTTGCTTTCATTATTTCACAAAAGCACGATTTGTTTTTTTATTGTGAGTGCACACAAATAAACGTAGAACCTCCATCTGTCCTGCAGTGAGCGCTACTTTTCAGCTTCCACACTCCACACAGACATATAGCGCACATTTCTCTAGGTTAACATTAGATTGAGCGGCCATGTAAAGTTGCTAATACTTACATATTTCAGATGATAAGCCATATTTGTTGTCGATGAATGATAGGCGAGCGTTTGGATGTCCTGCCTGATTTACTGTATTACCATAGACTAGCCGTTAAAGCAGCACTATGTAACTTTTGGCGCTCTAGCGGTTAATAAACAGAACTGCACACATCCCGCGGAAGAACATTCCAACCGGAGCTACTTCTCTAAGTTTATGTCTATGGCGATTCACGCAGGTATGTGTTACTCCGCAGTGATTCGGAATAAGACAAAAACGCGGTTTGGAAGATGAATTTATGATGCAGTTGCTCATTATATACATTTTGCAAATTTTGAACACAGAAAAAGTTACATAGTGCTGCTTTAACGATCTGTTAGTTACGGAGTGCGTGACTTCGCCTGTGGATTTTTTTTCTCTTTTTTTTCTGCGACTAAGCGACTAATAAAATTTTGGTCGACCAAGCCTCTTCTGGTCGACTAACCATTAGTCGACTATTAGGGGGCAGCCCTAAATATTTTACTGTATTTTTGATCAAATAAATGCAGGCTTGGTGAGCAGAAGAGACTTCCAAAAAAATTTATTAATTATTGCAATCTCTTGACCAGTAGTATTTGTTTTTTGTTATTTTATCATCAAAACTAACCTGATCTAAAAAATATGTATTAATTATTGCAATCTCTTGACCAGTAGTATTTGTTTTTTGTTATTTTATCATCAAAACTAACCTGATCTACTTTCTTAATACATGTTCCTGTTTGTATTGTGCTAGTCATTCTAAAGAAACAATCTTTTATAATGATCATTTTCATTAAAATTGCAGACTGACTGATAATGTTTTTTAACAACTAACAGGTATGTCTGATGAAGATGAGGATGAAGGTGGAGAGATTAAAGCTCTCATACAGGTTCACACCAGACGACCGGAAAAACTCAATCTTCATGATCCAGAGGACAAGCGGAGACTCGGTTTGTGTCGTGGGATGCTTTTTCTGAACACAGATTTACAGTTTCAGTGCAGGTGAAAATATACTCATTTTATTTCATTTTGAAGGTAAAGCTCATCTGCGTAAAGCCATCATACGTCACGAGGAAGCCCTGCGTCTTCACGGCGTGTGTAAATTGCTTCGAAAGATGGACATCCTGCAGGAAGTTCTGTCACACGCTCACGCCTGCTCGCTGGAGAAATACTCTGAGATTGATCAGGAAGATGATTTCTGTGAGGTCGCAGAGGCTCCAGAGATCCAGTGTGAGTGTTTAATATGCTAATCATGTTTGTGAACAGTTACTGTTAAATCTATGTTAATAAGTCATTTGCTCTGCTGTTTGCACACTACTATACTACTCATACTAACCTCAGGTTTAGGTGTATTATCATTATCTAAAACTAAAACCACAAAAAAATGTGTTACTGGAAATAAAATAAACATTAACTGGAATCAAATTAAATATAAAACAAAATAAACTTATTTCAGCCAGTTACCAAGTAAACATTTCTCACTTTTGAACTGAAGCAAAAAGTAATCATATATAACATGTACATATTTAAAAAAAAAAAAACTAACATAACACAAAATAAATTTACTAAAACTTGAACAAATATTCAAATTAAAATGGAAATATAAAATAAAAACTCAAACTTTTTGAAAAATTCAAGCTTTTAAAGGATCATGAAAAACCAAACTACTTTTTCTGAGATTTTAGCAGAGGTGTTTGTGTTGCACAACTTAAAAGACAGTGTTAGCATCCGTCAGTTTTAGTTGTTGGAGAAAACTGGTTCATTTTTAGCTTTTTTGCACTCTTTTCTTTCGTCTTCTGGGTCTAAAATCTACATTTTGTTGACGTCACAGTTTGTCAAGTCAAGTCAAGTCACCTTTATTTATATAGCGCTTTTAACAATACAGATTGTGTCAAAGCAACTGTACAGCATTAATTAGGAAAATAGTGTGTCAATAATGCAAAATGACAATAGTAAACACAAATTTTCAGTTGAAGGTTTGTGACTTGGCAAAGGACTATAGTACTTCGATGACCATCGGTGTATCAATTATTCATGAGACTGCGTGTTTTTATCCAATGAGAAGATGCTTCAGCAGGTGTGACAGACTCTTCAGACTGAGAGATTGCATACATTAACTGAGAGAAGAAACACTGATGGATCGAATGAGAGTGTTTGTTTTAGTAGTTTTTACAGCTCATTATAAAAGGGATAGTTCCGGTCCTTGATTCTGATTGGCTGAGCCAAGTTCAAAGCTGTTGTGAATTACTCTACAAACATACACCTTTGTTTACTTCTGTGTGTTGCTCTGCAACCACTTTGTTGGAACCACAACCGTTTCTGAGGAACTACATTGTTTGGCGGAAGAATAATGTTTTTATTAATATCATTACACTTTATTTGCTCTGTTTTATTTTGTGAAACCTTACTACGTATATGGAATAACCGTTTTATAAAAGCTTCGCGTCGTGACTAACAGCGCTCCTTAGCTGTTATAAATTTACTGTAAACCACGGCTTCTTGGGGCTTATTGCTTTATTGATGCAACCCATTATGTAAATGCCGCAAAATAAGCCTGTAAGTTATTAGAGGTGCAGCAGCGCATTCATATGTTTTTGATGCAGAGTCCAAATGCATTTATTTCTGTTTTTAACTCAATGGGAGCAAAATGAAACGGTCTGAAACCGAATTTGTCAGTGTTGTCTGTAGAGGTCGACCAACATGGGTTTTTCACTGGCCGATGGCCGATATATGATGCCGATTTTTGGGCCGATATGTTTGGCTGATTTTCTTTTTTTTTTTTCCTTCATCTCATAAAAGTGAGTTTTGAGTAAATGACTATTGCAGGGTACAAGATAGTAATAGTAGTAATAGCCTAATTCAGAGTAATAATACATGGCTCAAAACTTAAGCACCTTCTCAAAACAGTTCTGAAGCATGCATTTTGTTTATGTTTGCTGACAGACACCAGTGTTTCCCACAGACTTGCAAATGCAAATTCATTCTCTGCCAGCAGGAGGCGCTGTTGGAGCAGAGATATAGCGGTTTCCCCGGTAATGGATGTAATCAAATAAGCACTGCTTTCACAAACGCTACTTTATCAGGCATTACAGGAAAGACGAAATGAAAATGACACCGAAGCTTTTCTGAAGACGCTCGGTTCTTTTCAAAGATACATTCATATAAAAACACCAGCGATGCATTTTAATTTTGAAACGTGCAGTGATCAGTTTATTCAACGAAGTAATAACTCAATGTATGGGAAACACTGTACACTGCTATTAGTCAAATGGCCAAGAGATAACAAAAATAAAAGAGTTCACACGTATTACACAGCCTGCTGCTCATAACTGCTTAAGAGTGCACTGGCCACGAGCGATGACAGCGTGGATGCTATTGTCGGACCCACACACACATTTCATGAGGAAAAGTTAATGTGCACGTGATAATCAGCCCAGAAGTTTCGTCTGAATTGCATGTTTCTACTTTCACATGCAAATGACTTGTTGCACTTATGAATATGATAACTTTTCTTCATCAATTCTAGTAGAGTAAAACGCTTTCGAAATGGTCTGTTTTGCCCTGCCATCATTAGCTGAAGCTGTGTGTGAACACTAAAGGGGTCATATGATGTGATTTCAATTTTTCCTTTCTCTTTGGAGTGTTACAAGCTCTTGGTGCATAAAGAAGATCTGTAAAGTTGCAAAGACTAAAGTCTCAAATCCAAAGAGAATGATCTTTAAAATAGCATCATATGACCCCTTTAAGCGGCTGCAACGTGTGAGTTGCTCCGTCTCTCACGCATCCAGAGAGAGATTCTCCGGTGTTCCGCAACAACACTTAGCTGCCCGCAGATGCGCCTGCCTATAAATCGTCATAATTTGCTGCATAATCGGCCGATGCCGATTAATTAAAAAATGCCAAAAATCGGCCGATCAATCGGTCAACCTCTAGTTGTCTGTCTCCCCTCCTCCCCCTCCACTGTAGCATAGCATTTTTCAAAACTGTGGTGAGAACTAACAAACAACTAACTGAAACGGGGTTTCATGACCCTTTAATAAAAAACAATACTAGTATCTCAGTGATAATAAAATAACACTACATTATGCAGTATGCATACTGTGTTCTGTATGCTGATATTTTGTCCACAATGCAGTATACTCAACTTTACCCTCCATTTCTAGTGTGAAAATTGAACTAGAAGTTTTTACAGTGCTGTTTTGGTTGTATTTGTAATTAAATATTGCACTGCGGAGTACATACTAAATGCAGCTATTTGTTTTTAACAAATATTGTGGTAAGACAGCATGCATGAAGTAACATTTCAAGTAACAGCAGTACGTTGTCATATGACATTGCTAACATATGTGCATGTTCAATTCCACATTATTTTGCATTTTCTGTGTTTTTGTCATTTAAATTAGATTTTGTTTTTTAAAAAATGTCTAGTTTATATAACTTTTTATTCAAGTTTTGATTATTTTAGTACAGCAGATTAGACTAAATGAAAATGAGAAACATTTCCTTGGCAACTAGCTGAAATAAAATAAGTTTGTTATTATTTCAGTTAATGTTTATTACAAGAACCAACATTTTTTTTAGTTTTTTGATGGTTTTAGTTTCAGTAAACTATAATAACCCTGTGATTCCTACACATGATTTGCATATGCACAGCAGACGTAATGCAGAAATAGTAGAGGTACAGAAACATGCAATTGCAAACATAGCCTTTTTTGTCTTGACAATAATGACCCCTGACTTTTGACCTTTGACCTGTCTCCTACAGCTCATACACAGCAGAAGCCTGACATTACAACTCCAGATTTCAGCGGCGTTAGAGTGACTGATATCTTCCACCGACTGGTAACTCTCACACTCACACAAACACTGTAATGTGCTGTAAATGTTGCAGACGTGTTTAATGTTCACCTCTGTTGTGCGTGTGAAGGGGCCGCTGTCTGTGTTCGCCGCTCGAAATCGCTGGGTGCGGCGGCATGCATGTTTGGTTCGAGGAGAGGCGGGGCTCGGGCTCACGCTTCGAGGTGATTCGCCGGTTCTGGTTGCTGGGGTGTTGCCAGGGGGATGTGCTGCGGTAAGAGATGTCATTAGTGACAGTAACATTTAAAATGCTTTTTATTATTACATTATGCATTATGAGCGTGTTTTAGGAGGCGGGACTCCGTGAGGCCGATTATATCGTGGCTGTGAACGGCGCAGACTGCAGGTGGGCCGAACACGCTGAGGTCGTTCACGCGCTGAAGAGCTGCACAGAGAGAGGACTAGAGCTGGACGTCATCACTCTACAGTCACACGAGGTACAGCCTGTGCACATGTGAAATAATTAGGGCTGGGTAAAAATGATTGATTTCTCGATTTTAATCGATTCTCATTTTTACGAAACAATGGACCTTTTTCACATTTCTAAGTCGTCACAGTCGAGTTAACTTGAAGAGCAGTGAATGGGAGAGTACCACAAATATATTTTTTGCATTCCCATTTGCTCAAATAGCAAAAGAAAAACTCCACGATAGTGTTTTCATGACTTTCAATAAAAGGAAAAAAAAATGAGAGAGACTGATAACGGCAGTCAGAAGAGAGAACGACATAAAATGTACCATCCCTCCCTGCATTAGAAACACCCTCGCATTAGCGTTAACTAGTTTTTTTGTAATTTGATGCAAAGGTGATATAATACAAAGTATAGTGTTATAAATGTACTTTTAAAAAAAATAAAGATATAAAAAGCTTGAGGATTTACGATGCTGATGACCGTTAAACGCGTCTTGTGAAAAGGGTCCATATCGATTCAAACCCCTTAACTGTCACCTGTGGGACGCTTGGCGCTCTTTTTTTTTGTTGTCCTTTTTCTCTATCAAATCTTTAAGTAATCAGCATGAATTATATCATTTGAAAGCTTAGAAGCCCAAGATTCATCCTGTGAAAACCATTTTGAAATCGGACATTGCGTTACCATGGAAATGGTACTTTAAAATATTTTGGCGGTCTCCTCCCCCTTAGTGGGCAGTGTCAAGTGTCATATTACAAAATGCATTACGGTCTTTTAGAATCAAACCTTTTTATAATCTTGACAAAATACATATCACTGGAAAGGTCTGAGTCTCAGGATTCTCAGGATTTATTTTGAGATAGAAGTAATACTGACAAAGAAATCTAGACATTTGTGACAGAAAAATGCATAAAAAAAATTAAATGGAGTTTGGATGGCACCCGGTGGCTGTTTGTGGTATAACGCCCTAAATAAAATCTCACAGAAACTAAACCTTTTTATAATCTTGACAAAAAAACATATCATTGGAAAGGTCTGAGTCTCAGGATTCCATATTTGTATAGTAATATTTACAGAGAAATCTAGACATTTGTGACAGAAAGTTTGGATGGCACCCGGTGGCTGTTTGTGGTATGACGCCCTAAATAAAATCTCACAGGAACCTCAGTTTTTTTCATATCAACTTCAAATTTGGAACGTAACTTATTTAGACATAAGGCTTTAATGTTATACCAATTTTAGAGTAAAACCTGTTATGTCAAATATTTATTATAAATAAAGTAAAATGAATATAGTGCATTTTATTTACAGTAAATTTAAACTTCTATAACTTTTTGATACTTTAATATTTTGAAAAAAATCCAATAATCAATAATCTGCTGATTTTCTTCTTTAAAAAGAGACCAACCTTGTGTCTGTATTCCAAAGTGTTCATAAATTACAACAATTTAAGTTTGGATAGTGCACTTTCATGCCTATTTAAAAAAATGGGGGGTGACAGTTAAGGGGTTAAATCCCAAGAATCGCAGTAAGCTTTGTGCTTTGTTACTTTTGAAATGAAACAAAGTCTCAGATTTCAAATTCTTACCATTTGATTACAGTATTCAAAAAATAAATGCCATTTTGGCGCAGTTTAATATGGAGTGACAGATCGCTGTAGCGCCTCAGTTCAAGAGAAGCGGCAGGATCATCTCCTCCGCTTTAATAACAGTTTCTGCATGAAATAAACATCCGAAGGTATGTTAAAAGACAGAGTACAACTTACCGAAATCCATCTCATGTAATCACTCAATCAGTGTTTCAAAGATGCCACATAACATCACATTTACCTAAAATTTTAGACAAATGAACTCTGGAGAGGAGCAATTTGCTAAATATGTGCAACATACTGTATAACATACGCATTATAATTTTTTACTGTTCTTCAGTGTTTAATTAATGTTTAAATAAATCTGTCAAGTTTTTATGCCACCATTTAAATGTTTCGATTTCTAAAAACTGATTGGGGTAGAAATATTATTATGTAATTGTAACTTTATTATTATAAAAACTTCATTAAGTGTATATAAATCAGTTAATTTTAACCTTCAATAGTATAGTAATGTAGTACCAACTGGTTCTCATTTATATTTTACAGCATTAGTTGAGAGATTTTTTTCCTTGAGAAAATTTGTCATGTACTGTACCTGATATATATCCAAAATAATCGATATTGAATCGAATCGAATCGTAAATGGAATCAGCTTGAAAGCTTGTGAGTCAAAATCAAATCATGAAATTTGTCAAAACCCAGCCCTAGAAATAATAGAGCCTTTACATATGAAATAATACCCGACAAATCTGTTTTTTTTTTAATGAAACAGCTTATTGAATCTTTATACAAAATCTGAAAATGTATTTATTTATTTTTGTTGAGTATCATTAGGTCTCATAAGTATCATCAGGCTTTTATGGCTCATATATTCTGATATAGTGAGACTACGGAGGAAAAAACGGCTTAATTTTATTTATTTATTTGCAGCAGATGCTAATATTTATATGATGAAATTCTGATGCTTGTAATGTAAATCTGTTTTTGAAAACGCTTTGAAGCTAGATTAAATTGATATGATTTAAAGGTGGGGTAAGCGATTTCTGGTAGCCAATGTTGACATTTGAAATCACCAAAACAAACACGCCCCTACCCCAAAAGGGTCTCTCTTTTGATAGCTCCGCCCCACACATACGTACGCAACCCAGGCAACGATTAGTTCTGTGAAACAAAGCAAAACCAATGTTACATCGTGTCTACACCGGACGTGAGTGGTGCGGCGCGACAAAATAGCTACGGAACTCATTATAATCAGTGATGCTGTCTACACCATAGATATAGCCTATATACATATCTATGGTCTACACTGGATGCGGCGCGGCACGACACGATCACGACAGAAAACTGCTGCTGCGTTCTATTCATGACGTATTGACACAAATTTCAATTGATTTTCAACGGTCGCTTTGTCGCGTCCAGTGTACTAGACAGACTTTAGCTGTTGTGGCGCAGACACGGTGTTACTCACCTATCGAGAAGAAACAAAGCAACCTCGGCGTCCGATCGCAGGCCTTCCACTCCTTGAGTTCTGTCCAGCGCTGGAAAGCTGATCCGATATTTACACGGGTCCTACTTCTTGCCTTATTGCCTTAAGCCTTCTTTTGTTCAGCAGACGGTTTCCTCTTTTGTTTTTTATCGGCCATCTCTATCTTTCTGTTGCTCGGCTCGGACTGACTACTCACATCAAGAGTAGACACGCCCCTTACTGCTGATTGGCTACAAGTTTGTTTTGCTATTTGGCCCGAATCAGTTTTCTAAAGCGTTTTTGAAAAATCACTTACCCCACCTTTAAAGCAGTAAATCATGTTTTCCTAGGTTGAGAGGAAGACGAATCTCTCACCTGCCGGTGAGAAGGAGTGTCAGTCGGGCAGCCAGAGGAGAGCGGGCCGGGAATACGAGCGCGGATCCTCGTCTCTGAAGAACTGGAGCTGGAGGAGCGGCGGTGTCACCAAGAGACTCGGAAGCACCTTCAGCCTTTCCTTCGGTAACTTCAGAGAGAGCGAATCCATGTTCTGAAAGCACACGAGGAAAAGAAAAGCACTGCTTTACTGACTAGAGCACAATTATCAGATACAATTATGTTTTAGGAGCCGAATGAAAATTAGCTGTTTTAGATTAACATTTTGGCACAATTCTACATGCATTCCATCATGTAAAGTTATTCAGAAGACCTGCCATGACAGAGGATTTTATTAGACATGTAGCACTATGCTGTAATAGTCCAATGCTTTCAGAAAATAGTGTCTTGCAGCAGCTCCAGAAGGCATTAAAGGAATTAGTAGGGTGGCCATATGTGCCATTTATACGGGACACGTCCTGGCCAGGATTTTTATATTGTCTAAAACATCCAAAGTCGTTTGACCAATAATATGCAGGTATTACCAATAACATGCAGGCATTGTACATAATCAACCAATCGTGGCGCGTGAGAAAGTGGGATCTACAGAGAATGATCAAAGCGATGCAAATACGCGCACGTGTTTGTTCGTTCGTTCGACTTTTAGGCAATATAGAAATCATGGCAAGGAGGTGTCCCGTAAAAATGGCCCGTATGGTCACCCTAGGAATTAGTCACCCAAGAATGAACATTTGCTGGAAATGTACTCACCCTCAGGCCATCAGAGATGCAGATGAGTTTGTTTCTTCATCAGGTTTGGAGAAATGTAGCATTGCATCAGTGTCTCAGCAATGGATGCTCTGCAGTGAATGGGTGCCGTCAGAATGAGAGTCCAAACAGCTGATAAAAACATCACAATAATCCACACCACTCCAGTCCATCAGTTAACATCTGGAGAAGATAAAAGCTGCGTGTTTGTGAGACATTATTCACTTCAGACCATTGCTTCCAGCTAAAATATAAGTCCATAATCCATAATAACACTTCCTCCGGTAAAAAAAAGTGGTCTGGTCTGAATCAGGAGAGAAATCTGCACAGATCAAGCACCGTTTACAAGCTGAAACAGTCCAAAACAGCAGATTTTGATGTGAGAGACAACAGGAGATGGACTTTTTCACTGGAGGAAGAGTTATTATGGAATATGGACTTTTAATTTAACCAAAAGCGACAGTTTGAAGTTAAAAACGTCTTAATGCTGGATTAGTTTCAGCTTTTGTCTTCTCCAGATGTTAACTGATGGACTGGAGTGCTGTGGATTACTTGTGGATTATTGTGATGTTTTTATCAGCTGTTTGGACGTTTTCAGCAAAAGTTCATTTTTAAGTGAACTATTCCTTTAAGAATGTATTTTTGCACAGAAGACAATTGTGGGTTTATTACGTCTGTTTTTTGCATGTGTATTTTATGTTTATTAGTTGTTGTCAGAAGCGATGTTTCCCAGCATTCCAGCTGCACTCTGCCTTGATGATTTAAAACTGCAGGCCTCTTTATCATGACAAATAAATCAAGTTTTTAATTTAAATGCACATGTAAAAATATCATTCTGATATCGTGCTCATTTATATCCATAATAGTGAACTCTAGTGAGAAGGTAGTTTGAGCCTTCTAAATTCTAAATACCTAGAATCTCAAATAAACTCTTTTGTTAGACAGAAATTTAAAACACACCCTGTATATTCCTCACAAATACTCCAGCTGCTGGATTTTCGGGATGAAATCAGGCTCATTTTGTGTAATCCTAATAATGATGTTTAAAGAAAAGTGTGTTTGGGAGTCAATGACATTCAAGTCTTGAACCAGAAGCTCTCAGGATGACATTTATAAGGAAGTATTCTAACAGCTGACTCTCGTCGCATTGGGGATTGCAGGAATGAATATGCAGTAAACAGTGATGAAATATGGGCTATTGCTGCCAAATCCAAAACTGTTTGGATTCTACTCTGAGTGGCTCCCCAGACACACAACTGCACTGGGAAATGAGACGGCTCAAATCTGGACAGTTTCAAATCTATTAGAATAGACAAGGCCAATTAAAGTAACGCAGCAGGCAGATGATGTCTGAGAATGGTGCTCAAACAAAAGTGTGTTTTTTTAACCTGATGAATTTGTCTTACGTAATTAGTGTATCTAGCCATCAGGTTCTGAGGCTGTAATCAGTGACTTCACCACTAGAGAGCAGCATCAGGTTACGCTTTGACATGAAAACATCAACATGCACACAGTTCTCAGTCAATGCAATGCCAAGTTTTCCTCTAATTATGCATGTGAATATGCATAATTAAATAATTGCTTTGAAAATATAATGCATGTAAATTAAGCAAAAGCTTTTTCTATAGGGACAAAATCATTAAACAATGCAGTTACACTTTTTTTTAATGGCCAACTTTAATGAAATCATGATTATTTGATGATAGCGATTTTCCTATTTTACAAATTTAAATGTATTATTTTAACTGGAACGTGTAGCTTTTATAGAACTATTAGGTTATGTTTTTTTTACATTATTCATGCACTATTCAGAAAAAAAAAATGCCACATTTATATTTCTGATCAGTTTTTTTTTTATTTAGAACATTTAAAAATATGATAAAACTAGGTAATGTATGGAAATATCAGTGCATTTGACTATAGAGTCAAACGTATTTTATTAAGACCTTAAGAAATTGAATGTTATTCTTATTTCTTAATGAAATCAGAATTTAATGATAAGGATTTTTTTTTTATTTTACAATTTTTATAGTATTATCTGACTACTGCAATAGGTAGTTTTTATAAAGTTTTTGTTGTTTTTTACATTATTCAAACTGACTTGCCTCATACATATTTCTGATAAGTGTTTTTATTTTTTAGAACATCTTTGAATATATAAAACAAATGTTGTAATGTATGGAAATATTAGTGCATTTGATTACCGAATGCCAGAATTTAATGATAAGGATTTTTTTTTTATTTTTATAGTATTATCTGACTACTGCAATAGGTAGTTTTTATAACGTTTTTGTTGTTTTTTACATTATTCAAACTGACTTGCCTCATACATATTTCTGATAAGTGTTTTTATTTTTTAGAACATCTTTGAATATATAAAACAAATGTTGTAATGTATGGAAATATTAGTGCATTTGATTACCGAATGCATTTAATTAGATAAAATGAATATATAATTTTTTTATTGTTTTAATATTATCTAAATTTATTTTTTAAGCCATGCTTTGAACACACACCTACTCTCATTTGTTGATTCATATATTTCAAAAGAAGAAGGATAGCTGGAAATGATCACTTCTTTACATCATGGAAATGATCTTTAAGAGATGTAGTGATACGTCGCGCGCGTTCCTTCCATTAAACGTTGCGTTATTGCACTAATTCATCACGTTTGGGATCATGAACGCAGTCTTATGTTCTAGAGCTGCAGAAGCATCTGGCTTCCTTCAAGAGCGACGACTTTCAGTAAACAAGTGCACAATCGATCATTGCGGACCATTAAGGGGCCTTATCGGGCCAGCAGGAGCTCTGTGGGCGAATCTTCTGTCGCTGAGTGTCGTGGCGCTTCAGCTGGATCTCAGACAGCACCCTAATGGTTTGTTATGACCTTTCCGCGTTTCCATTAGTCTAGGGTGACCATACGTGCCATTTTCCCAGGACGCGTCCTGGCCAGGATTTCTATATTGCCTAAAATATCTAGGTTTTGGCTTTGTTTGCGTGTGCAGACCGATCGGTGTATGACATCAAAATACCATACAGACGGTTCCTTATGCTTTCAAAGTGCTCTCGAGGTATTTTGATGTCATACACCGATCGGTCTGCACACGCAAACAAAGCCAAAACCTAGATATTTTAGGCAATATAGAAATCCTGGCCAGGACGCGTCCTGGGAAAATGGCACGTATGGTCACCCTACATTAGTCTCGCTGTTATTTAACACGGAGCTTTTGATTTAACCCCGTGTATATTGAAGGAGAAGAGTAAGTGGCACGTCTGGATTCCTTTACGCACGAAAGGCCAAAGACTGCGCCGCTCATGTAAACACAAGCATTGAGACTGCACCGATATATCGGGCCTTCCCACATTATTAGCAGCAGCGACAATCAGAGAAATCTACTCACTGGATAATACATTTCATCTTTGCTTTTTCCCCCTAGTAAATTCTGAGTAAACATTGTGTAAAATAAGAGATTCATCTCATTTGCTGTAATGTAAGGCCTAGTGGATATACTTGCTTTAGTGGTATGAGTCACTGAAAAAAAATGGTTAAGGAAGCATTAAAGCATTAGGCCTGTTCACCGTATTTCTGCACGACGGAGGCAATGTTTTCTTTGAATGTCCAGACTCCCGATTCATTAGCCACTATCGGTAAATAACTTGAAGTGCAATTAATTTGCGCCACAAACCAGTGTGTTTATAAATGCAATACATTAAAATAATATGATAAAAAATACCAGTTTGCATTGCAATATCAAGCAGCAGAATGGACTGTTTTGTACAGGTGAAATAAATGGTAGCAGATAAAACTGGAAACCGCATAAGTTACTAATGGCGCTGCCGCTCTTACGTTAAAGACTTTTAGGGTGTTTTTAATAAAGGGGATAGTGTGAGCTAATTGTAGTTATGTCTCGAAAATGTGTATCTATTGTTGTTTTGTGTCCAGAAAAACTTCCTCGCTAAAGTGGAATGGGATTTTTTTTTTCTACAAGAACCTGTGAGCGTCCTCTTCTCCAAAAAAATGTTTTTTGTTAATTATATACAGGCATATGTGGAAATGCAAAAATATATATTTATATATGAATAAACATAAATAAAGAAATTAATTTGCGGCGCTGGAGCGCAGTAAATATAGCGAACAGAAGTGAGGTAACCATAGCAACGGTAGAATGTTCAGCGCTTTCCGATTTTTTTTTTTTTTCCATAATAAATTAATTATAAAATTAAAATAAACAACATTGTAAATTTACATCATTTTTTTTTTTTTAATAATTACAGATTTTATAGAGGTCCTATTTCAAATTAGTTAATTTTTGTTGTTTGTTTATTGGCTAACTGTGCTATTAGGGGTGCCAAATGGAAATGGGATTCGCGAGATGAAACTCAACATATTGCTGATCTCTGAAAATCACCATATAAGCCTAATTCGTACACTGCTTAGGTTCTTGGTTGTACTATTTATGTTTTATGAAATTAAATACCGAACGTTTTGATTGGTCCATACAGCGTTCCAGCGCTGTTATAACACACATATCGACTCGCAGCTTTGACGTGAAACACCTGTTAACCAGCTTCTGTGTAGATCACTGCACACTCAGAGACCAGCTAGCTTCCTTTACATGTCAGGACTAGTGGAATGATGACACTCAATTAATTTGCAATGCATTTCTTTATTCGCAATATAGAACGGCATATCTTCCTTCCTTTATTTATTTATTGAACTTATGAAATATAA